CTCCCAGGCGAAGTTGGCGAGACCGACCTCGGTAGTGGTATCCCGAGGTCGTCGTGGCGAATCAGAGGTGACAGGACTCTGCACGCCAATCATCTGCGCGCACCTGTGAAGCGGGTGCACTGCTGTCCTGCAACGTTGGCGCGCCATCGGCCTTGCCTTGCTGGAGTGCAGCCAACCAAGTCGTGCTGGAACACGGTCGACCAAGCTGCGCTGGCAGTTGGCCGACCTGAATGCTTGCGCTGATGTAGTCTTGCTATGCCAACTTCATTGTACCATTGTTCTAAACTTTTCCTAGTGAAACTCTTGCCAATTTTCCCCGTGAACTAGCAAGTAGTGTGTGCACAAGGGAAACGACTAAGGAACAGAGAACGCAGAGATCACACGAGCACACGTGCCTAGCCCGCAGCCTAGCTCCCGTTGCTGCAGTTATCTCCGCATTACATTTGTGTAGGCTATAGTGGGGTAGCCCATAAAGGGTACCACCCAATTAGGGTTAGTACTTGTACCCATCTTCTGTTCAATGCATTCATTCTCATTCATTCTTTAGACAGTCGCCGCCATTCTTCTCGTCGACTCGATCTTGCATGTTCGACATGCTGACTGGCTGTATGGTCACCAATTTAGGGTGCTTCACGCCGACAACAGGTTGGTATTGCTTTGAGATTTCTCAATAGGATGATGCTATCCTGGCAGCACCATCATTATGATAATGCTGCGAACTGAGCGACGCGATCTGGTTTTTTGGAGAGGCGAGACGGTCACGATTTCTTAAATCGGAATAGTGACAAAGAGATTGTCCCTTCTGAGGATTCTCAAAAGCGAATCTGTGACCTATCTTGACTCCCTAGAGCAATTAGTGGATCTAATCGGAGAATCAGTAAGATGCACTACGCATTCTTTTTAGAACACTCCAAGACCGTGAGAATTGTGACTTGTCTTGTCTCGCCCACCTAAGAAGGAATTTTGAGGCGCCTTAAAAGCCTTCCTCGAGCGATTGGCGGGTCTGATCAGAGCATCTCATATAAAAAGGAAGATTCAGTGCCGGTCGCGTCTTCTCTTGCTTCGCCGATATAAGCTCTTCATATTGTCTTAATCATTCCGAACATAGTGCATTGCCACATGTGGCTCAAGACACACTGTTGTTCAACCAGAACACAAACAGAGGCTCGTGTCTAGGTAAAGAATACCCAGGTGTCCAACGCTGGATACTGATAATGACTGCCCAGCTGTCCATTGAGGGGCCAGCTAGCTGGCCCAAGTTGCGTTTTGAGTGGACAAGTCAAAACGCACATAAAGACTACCCAGCTGTCCAACGCTAGCTACTGATAAGAGATTGGTTAAGGGGCTCGCTGGCAAGTTGTGTGGGCCCAGACCAGCTCCGAGCAGAGAAGAACCCCCCACTGCGCCTTGGCCTGTAATATAACAAAAACCTCGGGCCTTTGCTGCGGAATCGTCTGCTCTATGGATCTCGTCTCGTCACCCAGCAACGGATGAGGGAAGAAAGGATTTTTGCAGGCAGAGGGAGGGAAGATGGGCGTGGAAGGGAGGCAAGCTAGGTGGGGTTGGTGCTGCATCTCTTCCTTTGAGAAATTTATGGCCTGTCATGGGAAATCGCACAGAATTTAGGCTCCAGTTCTATATGAGTTGAGATTCGCTCCGGAAATTATGATGTAATAATATACAGAACATGATGTTGAGCATCTTCCACAAAATTACTTACAAATGGAATTAGATTCAGCAGACAACACCTACTTTTAGATTGGGAATGCGTCGTTCGTTACTTCGGCTTTTCCATGAGGAACAAAGGAGTGTGGCCAGTTTTACGAAAACAGCACAAGCGCACTTAAATATGTGCAGCGCACCACCGCTTTGTACCTTTTATATTTAGTGAAATGGGAGATATGTAGCTTCAAATTTGGAGTTGCACCGAAGCGGCTCAATACAGTTTCTGCTGTCTACTCGACTCGAGACGCCTAAATTGCACACATCGCGGGTCGCTTTGGAGTTGGGAGTGGAGCTGGTCTAAGCCAGATGGATGTTGGTCAACTGACAACAGTGCTGTCCTGTCCATCCCCTCGGAGCGCTTTCGGATGGCCACTCAGCGGAACAGAAATTCCCTCCCATTCGCCTTTGCAAGATGAATTGATGACACGAGACTCGAACCGACTGCAACAGTAAGTAGGCCGTCAAACGCCCACTGCGGATTTCGAATCAAAGCAGATGATGCAGCACCAAAAACCTTACAACAGCAATTCTTAAAACTCATACAACCAATGTCCGACCTACTACCCTGTTGAAAACAATTTAGCGGCCATCTGCAATTGAAGACACACAATTACGTAATCATAAGCCTTTTCAGTGGCTTGATTTCTACAAATATGGGGAAACGAAGCGCCAGACTTAACCTAAATTCGTGCAGCAGGTTTCAACAGATTTACGGGTATAACAGTGAGGTTCGGGACCTGGGTTTGTCTTGAATCCACAAGCACAACAGCTAGGTTCGGCACCTTTGCTTGCCTAACATTCTCCAGCACGGTAGCTAGGGCCGGGAGCTCCGGTCGTCTTATTTTCGTAGCAATTGCAGCGAGGGAGACAGTGAGGGGGCTGAAGGCAAGAAGGAGGGAGTTCTTGACGGGCGTGGTGATGTATGGGCTGGGGAGGAAGTAGGCGGAGCAGGCCGTACTACTCCACGCGATCCAATGCGCGTACCTTGCGTCCTGTGAGGGTTTAAGGTGTCGCAATGAGCAGATTGAGGGGGGAGTGGGTGAGAGTGAGGGCACGAGAAGAAGCAGATGGAGATAGCTGGCAGCGGTGCTGCCACACGAGATATAGTGTGCAAGTAAGATGCATCGTGAAAGGATTACAGCTTTGAAGAGGGAAGATTGTGGGAGGAGGATATGGAAGGAGTGAGAAAAGCTAGTAATGGGAGAGGCGAGGGGGGCAAAAAGTGAGAATTATGAACCAAGGGCAGTTTACTACGTCAGAGGGGAAGACCAATGGCAGGAGTGCTGTGATTTGTGATTGAAACGCGGTGGCACCGATTCTCCACAGCAGCGCACAGCTGAACACCAGCAAGAATGCTGCTGGTGTTGACATGGCTCTGGTCAATAGGGGGGGAGAAGGAGGATGGAGAAAAGGCCTCAGTTTCCCACTTGCCCTTAAAGACTCACCTGCCCTCAGTTCTCCAACTGCCCTCAGTTACCCAACTACCCACGACCACCCACCTGTCATGAAAGACCCATGTGAGAACGAGCACAGCTGCCTGTGAGGTAGCACCCAGGAAGCCACCTATACGGCACAGCACTTACCTCTACGATATCCCACCTGCTCTGGAAGACCCACCTGCTTTTGAGTCGACTCGAAACGATCCACTTGCTTTTGAGTTGACTCAAAATGACCCACCTGCTTTTGAGTCGACTCAAAATGACCAACCTGCTTTTGAGCTGACTCAAAATGACCCACCTGCTCTGGAAGAGCCATGTGAGCACGAGCGCGGCTGCATGCGAGGCAGCACCTAGCAGCAGCATGAGACGCACTGAGTAGAGCGTGTGGGCTAGCGAGCTGCGACGAAGCAACACTAAGTGTGGGGGGAGACGATGGATGGATAGGCATGGAGCAGGGCAAGACAAGGAGCTAAGGAGAAGAGAACAGTAAAGTTGAGTCAGAAGAGCGCATAGTAAAATGGGCTAAGGGAGATGTGAGGAAACAGCACTAGGGGTTGGGAAGGAGTGGAAGAAGAGGAGCCGGGCAGCATGAGGAGTAGGAGAGAAGACAAGAGTGCAAGGAAATCAAGATTGCATGAGTGAATCACGAGGGCAATGGCGACTCACGACGGCAATGGCGACGCCAAAGACCATCATGGCTCCGCCCATCCACCGCGCTCCCAGCAGCGGCTGCACCACATAGCGCCATGTGGGGGATGGGAGGCATGGGATGCATGGGAGGGGTGGGTGTCAGTACATTATAGCTTATACATTTGTGTAGGCTGTAGTGGGGTAGCCCATAAGGGGTAAAACCCAATTAGGGTTAGTACTTGTACCCAACTGTTTCATAGTTCATTCATTCTCTTGTTCTAATCTTAACATGGTATAGAGCTGGTTCCCTCGTGGGAACTGTTCCTAGGGCCCACCGACTTTTTTTTTCCTGCCCGGAGCACGCTTGGCCCCTGCCCGAGTCGCGCCCCGTGTCGTTCCCCCTCTAGCGGCCCTTTTTACGGCCCCTAACGGCCCCGCCGCGCCGCTCTTGCGGCCCCGTCGCACCGCCCTTGCGGCCCCGTCGCGCCGCCCTTTAAGCGGCCCCGTCGCCGCCCTTCCACGGCCTCGCCGCCCGCCCTTTTCAGCGGGCCCGTCGACGCCCTTCCACGGCCCCGTCGCCGGCCTTCCACGGCCTCGCCGCCCGCCCTTATAGCGGCCCCGTCGCCGCCCTTCCGCGGCCCCGACACCGCCCTTCCGCGGCTCCGTCGCCGCCCTCCAGCGGCCCCGTCGCCGCCCTTCAGCGGCCCCGTCGCCGCCCTTTCAGCGGCCCCGTCGTCGCCCTTTCAGCGGCCCCGTCGCCGCCCGCCCTTTCAGCGGCCCCGTCGCCGCCCTGCAGCGGCCCCGTCGCCCCCCCCTTCCGCGGCCCAGTCACCGCCCTTTTAGCGGCCCGTTGCCGCCCTTTCAGCGGCCCGTCGCCGCCCTTTCACCGGCCCGTCGCCGCCCTTTCAGCAGCCCCATCGCCGCTCAGCCGCCCAGTGCCCGAGCCGCTGAGCAGCCCAGCCACCGAGCAGCCGAGTCGCCGACCGTCGAGCCGCCCTGCAGCCGAGCCGCCCGACCGCCGAGCCGCCCAGCAGCCGAGCCGCCGAGCAGCCGAGCCGCCCAACCACCGAGCCACCAAGCCGCACCGCAGCCGAGGCGCTGCCGCCCGTCGGCCTGCCCGGGACCGCCCCACTTGCCTGGTAAGAGCAGCGTCTCTACCACTGCACTACCCTGCCCCACCGTACTTACTACCTGTCTACTGCTGTCATGGCCTCCCCTAGTGTTCTCACCTTTGACGCTGAGGGTCGGGCAGTTGACTTTGAGGTCTGGGTAGATGATCTGCAGCTTTTCCTAGAGTGCGATAGGGCAGACGGTCTCTCCCTGTTCGACCTCACTTCTGGTGCCTCTTCCCTGACCTTGCTGCCTTTCCCACAGTCTCTGACCTCATTACGCACCTCTGCACTAGTGACACTCGCTACTGCGCCGCGCTTCCTGCTGAGTTCTACGCCAAGAAACCCCCCCCCCCCCCCCCCCATGTACATCACCCTCTACTACATAGTCACCCGACTCCCTAACTCTCTCCGCGTAGTCAGGGACCACTTCCTCTCAGTTTGCCCCACCACTCTCACCGTTGACCTCCTCAAGAAGGCCCTCCTAGCGGCAGAGAAGAGCATAGTCGCTGTAGGAGCCTCTCGTGGTGACCCTCGCACTCCCGTCTTTGAGGGGTGTTCTCCCTCCCCCCTCTTGCCCTCTGTTGCCTCTGCCGCTGCGGCCGACCTCGTTGGCTTCGAGCCGGTCGGCGCTGCGTCTGCCCCGAGCGGGAAACGCCGCACCGGCAAGGGCAAGGGGGGCAAGGGCGCTGGAGCGGATGGAGGGAGCGGTGGAGGTGGTGGTGGAGGCAGTGGAGGGAGTGGGGGTGGTGGTGGGAGTAGTGCCGGGGGTGGCGGCGGCGGCGGCAACAGTGGAGGCGGCGGAGGCGGTGGTGGTGGCGGAGGGAGCGGAGGCGGTGGAGGTGGCGGAGGAGGCGGAGGCAGCGGAGGAGGCGGCGGAGGCGGCGGTGGTGGAGCGGGTCGCAACTCTGCGCAGAGGAGTGGCTCCGGTGGTGGTCCGCGCCAGCAGCAGCGGAGTGGTGTGACCCTGTCCCCTCAGCAGCTTCATGAGTGGTACACTGCGCGTCAGCGCGGTGGGGGTTTTGGTCCCTGCACTTACGTCCTCCGTACCGGCGACCGAGCTGGTGAGCAGTGCGGAGGCTCGCACTCCACCCAGCGCTGCTTGGGTCGCCTGACGGATGCGTGGCGTTGCCAATTCCCTGAGGCGTCAGAGATCCCTCGCTGGGGAGATCTGTCTAGGGCGGGGGTTGCTGTCTTTGATCTTGACTATGATGCTATCCTTGCTGCCATGTATGCTGTGACTACTAGTGTTGAGGGTGACTCTTACCTGTGTGTACCGCCTGACCTGGGCATTGAGGCCACTGCTCTAGGTGCTGGTGAGGCTGCTGCTCTAGGTGCTAGTGCGTCTGCTGCCCCAGGTGCCAGTGCGTCTGCTACCCTAGGTGCCAGTGCGTCTGCTGCCCCAGGTGCTGGTGAGTCTGCTCTCTTAGGTACTACGTCGGCTCAGGCCTTCCACACCTTCACCCTTGACTCGGGTGCGTCCCGCTCCTTCTTTCGAGACTGCACCACTCTTACGCCGCTCAGTCGGCCGGTTGCAGTCTCCCTGGCAGACCCTTCAGGGGGTCCTGTCCTTGCTAGCTTCTCCACTGTCTTACCGTGCCCGGCAGCCCCCTCTGGCACCCTGTCAGGTCTCTACCTCCCCTCATTCTCTACGAACTTGGTGAGTGGAGCATGTTATGTGATGCTATCATTTGCATTCACGTCTGTCTGCCTCCCATCATGTGTTCGTGCGTTGCATGTGTGAAATGAGCGTGCGCAAGAATTTGTGTTTTTCTGTGGTTTGGATTTTCTGAGTGTGTGTGAATGTTATTTGGCTTGAGCAGATATCTGAAGTGACTCCACTGCTCAAGAGCTTTCCGACGAACCAAGAATCACTTCAATCGGAGCACGAACAAGAAAGTTACGAACGTTGGAGTTCGTATGCTTTTGATATTTGGTTGTGGTGACCATGGAGAGTTGTGGGGTTGACTCAATATGGGGTACAGACTTTTGGGGGTTGGGAAACTCGTCACTACTACTGTAGTTGCTGCCAATTGGTTGGGAGAAACCAAACCAGGTTGGCAAGTGTGGCCAAGTTGGGTTGAGGTGGATTGTGGAGGTTGGGATAGTGACAAAGGTCAAAGTTGGGTTGCCTATGGGGAAGGGAATTGTGTGGCATGGAGTTTTCTTTGGTTGGGGACTCCTTGGGACCTTCCCTCTCGTCCTCCTCTTTCCTCCTACCTGGTTTAGTGCTACTCTAACTCTCTTGTGTGCAACTCTTGTGAACTTGTGAAACTATTGTGAGTGAATTTAATTTCTATGTGGCAGCATACCCCCTGGTGCGCCGTAAAGCATAACTCGAGATTTACTCCACCTTTCGATACGATTCAAATTGGGAATGATAGCCACGAACAAGGGCTATAACATATCGAGTTTGAGACGATTCTAACGGTGCAATTTTTGTCGACAACGTTTCTTGTGAAGTCGCGGTTTCTGTCCAGAATTTCAAGCCAAAAATTTTGAGAAATTTAGGCTCCTAATCTTCACAGACTCAATCCTTAGTCTCTAACAGAGCAGACCTACAGGATAAGGGGGTTGACCAGTTCTCTCATGCGAGTCAGCGAGTGACCCACTGCACGTGTGCTCGGACAGGCCGACACTTGGCCACATTCACCCGTCGGCCAGGGTCGAGCCTGTACACCCTTACTACTGAGTCTCCTCCTCCTGCTGAGTCTGCCCAGGTAGCTGCGTCAAGTCAGGTGTTTGCTGCAGCGTCCAGGTCGGGTCCTGAGTCTGCTCCCTGCTCGTGTCGTCTCCTGTCCCACCAGACTCTCCTTTGGCACCACCGCCTAGGTCACCCCTCCTTGCTTTGTCTCCGAGGCATGGCCTCCCGTGTCCTTGTCTCTGGACTCCCTTGGTCTCTCCCTCCCCTACCTCCAAGGCCTGGCCCTACCTGCGTCAAGGGGCGACAGCGCGCCGCCCCTCACTCCTCCGAGTTTCCTCCGACAGAGGCTCCGCTGCAGACTCTCCACATGGACGTGTGGGGCCCAGCCCGCGTCAGTGGGCAGGGGCGCGAGCGGTACTTTCTGCTAGTGGTTGACGACTACTCGCGTTACACCACAGTCTTCCCCTTGCGCAGCAAGGGTGATGTCACTGAGGTGTTGATCGACTGGATCCGCGCAGCTCGTCTCCAGCTCAGAGAGAGTTTCGGCTCGGACTTTCCTGTTTTGCGTCTGCACTCGGACAGAGGCGGGGAGTTTTCCTGTGCCCGTCTGGGAGCCTTCTGTCGTGCACACGGCATCCGCCAGACCTTCACGCTTCCGGCCTTTCCACAGAAAAATGGGATTGCTGAGCGCTGCATTGGCATGGTCATGGACGTCGCTAGTACGTCCATGATGCATGCGGCTGCCCCCCATTTTTTGTGGCCGTTTGCGGTTCAGTACGCCGCGCATCAGCTCAACCTTCAGCCCCGTGTCTCCTTGCTAGAGACCTCCCCCGCCTTGCGGTGGACCGGGAAGGTTGGCGATGCGTCTGCGTTTCGGGTCTGGGGATCTCGGGCGTTTGTCCGCGACTTGTCTGCGGACAAGCTGTCCCCCCGTGCTGTTCCCTGCGTCTTCCTTGGCTTCCCCCCTGACGCACCTGGGTGGCAGTTCTACCACCCCACCTCGTGCCGTGTTCTGTCCTCCTAGGATGTCACCTTTGACGTGTCGGTACCTTACTACCATCTCTTCCCCTACAGCACTGCGCCTCTCCCCCCGCCGCCGCTTTTCCTTGCACCACGTCCTCCCCCGGTAGACCCCCTCCCCCCTCAGGGTCCTGCCCCATCAGGTGTGTCCCAGGTAGAGGTAGTCGAGCCTCTCGAGGTAGCTATTGACTCTGGTGCTGCTAGAGGTGCTGAGCCTGCGGGTGGGTCTGGAGGTGCTGAGTCTGGGGGTGCTGGTTCTGGGGGTGCTGGGTCTGGGGGTGTGGAGCCTGGGGTTGTGGAGCATGGAGGTACGGAGCTTGGGGGTGCCGAGCCTTGGGGCGCTGGGTCTGCTCGTGTGGCCGCTGGCGGTGCTTCGTCAAGGCGGGAGCCGCTCTCTCCACAGGAGCTGCGCGAGTGGTTTGTCCGCTGCTAGAGACGTGCTGCTGAGACTGGGGGTGGTGCTGGGGCTACTGGAGTTGGTCCTGCTGGAGCTGCTGGCGGTACTGGTGCTACTGGAGTTGGAGCTGCTAGGGGTGTTGGCGCTGGTGTTTCTACTAGGGCTGGTCCGTCTGGGGGTGCTGCTGGAGCTGGAGCTGCTGGGGTTGATGGCGCTGGTGGTGCTGCTGGCGCTGGTGCTTCTGAGGGTGCTGGAGTTGGCGCTGTTGGAGCTGGAGGTACTGCTGGCGCTGGTGCTGCCGCTGGGGGTACTGGTGCCGCCCTTGCTGGTTCTGGAGGCGCTGAGCAGCCGAGGCCGTACTTCGTTCCGCTCCTCGAGCAGGTTCTTGGTCTCCCGCCCTCTCCTAGTCCTGCTCCTTCCTTAGAGTGTCCACAGCCTGTCCAGTCGCAGTCACAATAACAGCCCGCCTCCCCTCTACCAGCTCCTTCTCCCTACACTGGTCCTACTAGAGGTCTTGCTGAGCGTCGTGAGCCTGCGTCTCGTCCTGCGTCGCCTGTTTGTGCTCCTCGCACTAGTCGTCGTGCTGCGCGTCCGCGTCCTCTTGCGGTCCCGTTGCCGTCTCCTCTAGAGTCCTCTCTTCCTTCTCTTGCTGACCCGGAGTCTGACTCCCTTCGTGCTGCTAGTCCTTTGGTCACGCGCCTTCTTGCTACTGTTGTCACCGACCCTTCCTTTGAGTCCACTACTGCGTCTGCCCTAGTTGCTGAGCTTGTCGACTTTGCTGCTCGATGTCTTCTAGACTACGGTGCCAGTCTCGTTGCTGAGTCTGAGTCTGTCTGTCCTCCGTCCGTCAGGGGTGAGTCTGCTCTTAGCACGGACGTCCTAGAGGACAAGCAGGAGGAGTTCCAGTGTTTTGCTGCTGCTTTGCCTCATCTCGTGTCCACGCTGATTGCCCCTGAGGGAGACCCGGATGCACCAGACATCCCGACTCCTCGATCGTACGCTGAGGCGATCGAGGGTCCCTACTCCTCTCAGTGGCAGTCAGCCATGGACGCAGAGATGGCTTCCTGGAAGTCTTCAGACACCTACGTCGACGAGGTTCCCCCACCTGGGGCGAACATCGTTAGTGGCATGTGGATTTTCAGGGTGAAGCGACCGCCGGGTTCTCTGCCTGTCTTCAAGGCGCGTTACGTGGCTCAAGGCTTAAGTCAGCGGCAGGGAGTTGACTACTTTCAGACCTTCTCTCCCACCTCGAAGATGACCACTCTTCGGGTGCTGCTGCACATAGCCGCTCAGCGCGACTACGAGCTTCACTCTCTTGACTTCAGCACAGCTTTCTTGTAGGGCAGCCTGCACGAGGAGATATGGCTGCGCCGCCCTCCTGGCTTCACTTGGTCATTTCCTCCTCGTACCCAGTGGAGCCTCCGGCGGCCAGTCTATGGTCTCCGCCAGGCGCCCCATGAGTGGTTCGACACACTAAGGACTACACTTGCGGCTCTTGGGTTTGCTCCTTCTACACCCGACCTGTCGCTGTTTCTGCACACCGACACCTCTCTGCCGCCGTTCTACATCCTCGTGTACGTCGACGACTGGGTCTTTGCCACTGCTGACACTGCTGGACTCGCCTACGTGAAGTCCGAGCTGCAGAAGAGACACACGTGCACAGACTTGTGAACTCCACAGCTACCTTGGCTTGCAGATCACCCGGGACAGAGCACAGTGCACCATTACCCTGACTCAGTCACACATGGTGCAACAGGTCCTTCAGCGCTTCAGCTTCATGTACTCCTCGCCTCAGGCCACTCCTCTGCCTACTCGCCACTCGCTCTCAGCTCTACCTTCGGATGAGTCCGTAGAGCCGAGTGGCCCGTACCCAGAGCTTGTTGGCTGCCTCATGTACTTGATGACCTGCACACGACCTGACCTTGCATACCCTCTTAGCATCTTGGCACGCTATGTTGCTCTTGGGAGACACCGACCAGAGCACATGGCTGCAGCAAAGAGGGTGTTGCGCTACATGTGCAGTACGTCGGGCATGGGGCTAGTGCTTGGAGGGCGATGTCGAGTGGTCCTAACAGGTCACGCTGATGCTTCTTGGGCTGACGACCAGGCTCTGCAGCGGTCGTCACAGGGTTACACCTTCAGCCTTGGCTCCGGCTCTGTTTCGTGGCGGTCTACCCGCTCGTCTTCTGTTCTCAGCTCTAGTTGTGAGGCTGAGATCTACGCAGGGGCCATGGCTGCACAGGAGCTACGCTGGCTCACCTACCTGCTGACTGACCTAGGAGAGCCGCCTCGTTTTCCTCTAGTTCTGTACGTAGACAACAAGGCCATGCTGGCCTTGTGTCGGGAGCACAGATTGGAGCAGATAACAAAGCACATTGCTCTCCGCTACTTCCTGGCTCGTGAGATGCAGCAGTGTGGTCAACTCCGCCTCACCGTTGTGGCCTCTGAGGCCAACACTGCTGATATCTTCACCAAGGCCCTTCCGCCTTGTGATCATCAGCGCTTTTGTACTTTGCTAGGTCTTGTGCCTACCTGGCCTCACTTGCTCACTTCTTGATCTTGTTTGTTCTTTCCTCTTTCTATACTTGCACTTGCTTGTTTTCCTTTATATATATGTTCTTGCATGTGAACTTCCTTGTGGCCTTACTCTTGTGCTCGTACTGTGTGGTGACTTTGTGATCCACCTTGAGCTTGCTTTGCTTTTCTTGACTGGTCTTGTGACCACTTGTTCTCCCCCACTTTGCCTATGGGGGTGTGTCAGTACATTATA